CTAGGTCACTTTCCCTGCAGGCAGGAGAGCAGCAGCTCCTGATGCCTCAGCACAGCCCAGGTGGGGAAGTGACCTTGATGCAGGGAGCCCTGGTGTGGGTGTTGGGGCCCTGTGAAGGAACCAGTGTGGGTGTGTGGTGAAGGAGGGGGTGGTGTTGAGGGGAGTGTGTGTGTGCCTGAGTGAGTGCACTGTCACTTTAAGAAAGCCCTCAGGGTCAGGAGCCTGAACTAGGCTTGTTCAGACACAAGCAGCTGCCAGCAGCCTCTCTGGGTCCAGAGAGGCAGCAGCAGACACAGATTCCCCATGTCCCATCACTCCAGCTTAGTAGAAATGGGGGGGGACACCCCACCATCAGCCCCCCCGCCCGCCCCAGAGCAGACAGGAGGATGCTCCCAGGCCAGAGGCGACTCCAGGAAGAAGGCAGGGTGAGGGGACACAGGACCAGCAGCGGCTGCACATGTGGAGCGGAAGAGGGGCACCCCCTGCTCCGGGCTCCGCGGCTGGTCGTCTCTCCCGCTCCCCCTCGCTGCTGCTCTCCTGCCTGCCCTGCCGCCTCCGTCAGCCCAGCTGGCCTCTCGACAGCAGGTCCGGTGGGAATCCAAAACCTGCGCACGGCACCCCTTTGGGCAGGCCACTCTGGGCGGGGGCCCGTATGGCCCACCCCAAAGGCCAGCCCTGGTCTTCGGTCTCTTCCTTGAGACCCCCATAAGAGCGCCAGTCATTTTTCTGCCTCAAAGGAAGAAACCTTCACACTCGTTTTACTCAGGCGGCTGGAAGGAGGGTGACATTTGGTTACTATGGCCCAGAGCCTCAAAGGTGCCAATGGGAGTTAGGCATCTAAATACATTGCAGAGGCTTGTCTCTCATTGCCAGTCTGCCAGCATCTGCTCCTAAACGGTCTGGTATTTTAAGGACACGAGTGGCTTTTAAGCAAAACCTTTTGAAATGCCAAAAAAGAAGACAACGAGGACCAAGCAAATAAGATAAATAGGAAAGCACAACTCTTGCCACAGGCTGTTGAAACATCTTCATGGGTTCTGCATTTTTTATTCAAGTGCCAGCCAGCTAATCCTTAGAATACTGGTATCTTTCAAACTGATGGTTAAAGGGATGATTAGGTGAACATGGATGGGTATAATATTATTATTTAATATTTACATTGCAGCAACTCCTGGGAGTCCTAAAGACCATTCCTATTGTGCTAGCCACTGTCCATATATATGACAAAAAAGAGCCTGTCCTAGGGAATTTACAACATACAGTTATACAATAGAAACTTGCAATATCCAAGGGGGTTAATATATCATATTAAGAACTGCCGCAGAACCTTTGCTTGCTAGAGTTAAATCTAGTCTGCCCATCTGAGTCAGCCCGGTATGTAACCAAAGGGAGTTTTGATTTCAGACATGTACGTAGGAGTAGGTAGAGATGTACTGTACTATCGTTACGTGCTAAACCTTGCTGCTTCCTGAGCTTTAAGAAGTCATGGATTGAATTTCTGAGCTGTACGTCGCCAAAATGTATGAACTGTCAGGATACTGTTGAGTCTTTGTTCGAGATCCTTCCTCGCGTATGCTTATTGCAGTGATCATTCTTTGCTGCAGAGAGTCCATAGTGTGTGAACAGAGTTCAGCAGGCTAAACTGATGCCGAAATTAAAGGGAGCTGTAATTCTCAGCAAAGCCACTTGTTACCTTGTTATTACTTTGCCTGCATTCTATGCTCAGAGCAGAACAGACCTTTCTCACAGCTAGTTTCTGTTTGCAAAGAAAGGGGAGATTTTTTTTTTCATTGGCTGGGCTTTTATTCAATCGTCAACATCCATACAGTTAGAGCATTTTATTTGGCAGAGCATCCTGCAACCAAATTGTATCCCAATGTGCTTAACAAAGTTAAAGGGTCAAGGTTGCTAAGTCTGGTTGAACAGTGGGGGAAAAAAATGTATTTGCAAATTTATTTCAAAGAAGTTAAAAGACTTTATTTCAAAGAGGTTCGGCAAATGAGCTAAAATTTCCTTCTGAACCAACTGCGAGAGGGTGAACATTCCGTTTTGAAAAGAAGAATGGCAATTTTCAACTGGATCTAGGGCTGGCCAGAAAAATTCCATTACGTGAAAAATATTGACGTTTCAGAATTTTATTTCCTTCCTCAGTGGAACGAACCAAGCCCCTTTGAAATTTTTCATGAAAAAACATGAGATGCCCCAGAAGAGCCAACTCCCTTGGTGGGTGGAAGATCTAAACACAAATGTCTCATCTGCAGAGACTTGAACTTGGGTCTCCCATGTTCTAGAGGCACACCTTACCCATTGGGCTATCACCTCAGCTTTTCTCGTGCTCTCCCGGCGGAGTTATTTCTCTTTGCATAAATAATTAAATATTCAGTAGGCCATAGCAAAAGATACTGACTCTAGCCCAGTAGTTCGAGCACTCACTGGGATGACAAAATGTCAGCCAAGCAAGCAAGCACTTGGGTTTCTTTATGTGAGCAGAGTATGGCGCTCGGCATTATAAACAGGATTCCTCTGTGGTGTTTGGTTGCTGTCATTGAAGGCAGGAAAATTTCCCGTTAGAGGTTTAGTGCTTGATCACTATTAAAGAGTGGGGACCCAAAGCTGTGAGGCATCCAGGGCTATCAGAACACTCTACGAACCAAAGAATCCAAGGCCAGTTGTGATTTTCTTACTGCTTTCGATTGTAAAGCCAGGTATCAGTCCATTCATTTTCTTTTGCAGCACACTGAGTGGTAGAGCCCACAGCTGAAAGGTCAGTGCAATTTTATCCAGTGGATGAGAGTGGGTTTGTCCGTCTGTCTAGAAAGAAAATCCTGGCAGACAGTGTGATACTTTCTCAACTGAGAAACTTTCGCAAGTGTCTGAACAAGTTGCTGAATGTCTGACAATTTATGACCTGGGAATTGTTTCCCCTGGTGTATGAAGGGAAGAATGTTTCCAAAGGGGAGTTATGTTGCTGTTATTAATGGGACACTTTGATTTGAAACAAATCTTTTCTTTATTTACTTCCTTAGTTATGCACCAGCTTCCTCTTTTTTGGTAGATAGCCCATTAATTAGGAGTGATCTCTTCTAAGGAATGATCAGCATCATGAACAAGTCTGCTGGTCTTTTATGGGGAGGGTTCCAGAATCTGTGGGTTTCTTTAATGCAGTGATCATAGAGATGGTTGCTGGTCTTCCTCCATCCCAACCCCATCACTGGGAAATCATCCCGGAGACCAAGTCCCAGTACCAGGAAATACAGTACAATTGTTGCTGCGTTCTCCTGATGCAGAGGCTCAGACTGGATTTTCCAATGTCACATGTGCAACTAGAGGAACATGGCCAAGTTCTTACCCTTTAAGGATCATCACAGACTTCACTGCTTTCTGTTCCAAGTGCAAGGCACACCTCTTTGACCTTGCCTTCTCTACCAAACACAGAGCACCACATCTATGTATTAATAACAACAAACCACCTACCAAAACAAGACACTCCACTGCACACACATCTCACTCTGGGGAGAGGATGCAAAAAACAAACACATGGCAGAGAGGTAGCCATGTTTCTTAATGCGCTGCTGGAAGGAACTCAGATACTATGGTGATGAGTGTGAATAAGACTGTGTATAGAACAGGATAGAAATAAAGTAACCCTCCATAGGCACATCACACAACATTTCTCCCAGTGGTGTGAGTGTGGCAATAGCGTGATGGGGACACAAGCCACTGAGAAATGTGACTACATCATGCAAACCTCAGACAACTTCCTGTTCATTTCAGGGTCCCATTCAGAAGTCTCTTCCCAGGTTTTCAAACGTTCCAGGGCGTTGCTGCATCAAATCTCATGGGCTTAGAGCCTCTCTACAGACCACTGAAATCAATGAAAAGATTCCCATTGACTTCTTCAGACTTTGGATGAGGCTCTTAATCTTTCTCTCTGCACCCTTGCCAGCTTGCTCTACTCATCTTGCACCATCCTCTCTTACTCTTGCTCGCCACTCTTACTTCTTGAGCTGCCTCTTCTGCAGCTCTTGGCACCTGGACCCGCCTGCCTGTATTTCTTCATGTCGTCAACGCTCAGCCTCATCTTTTCTCCCTGGCTCTGATTTCCCACCCACTTCTGTTCCAATTTGAATGAGACAAAGTGGGAGAGGCAATATCTTGTATTGGACCATCTTTTGCTGGTGAGAGAGACGAACGGTTGACTTTGTGAAACACTTTGGGGATAATTTGGAGACAATGGGACCCATGCACACAAGGTTCTATTCCTGGCTCTTCCACTGACCTGCAGGGTCATCTTGGGGAATCAGGGTGATCAGGGTCATCTCTCTATGCCCCTATTTTCCCTCCCAGCCTTGACTATTTTCTAGCATTTATTTAGATTGAAAGCTCTTCACGGCAGGGATTGTCTCTTACTGTGGGTCTATACGGCACCTAACTCAATGGGTCTCTGCTGTCAGTGGGAGACTCTAGGTTCTACCATAATACAAATAATAAATACCACTGGAACTTCTCCATGTGGGTGCAAGGGTCTGTCCATGTGGATTTCGTAGCAGAAGTAGGCCCTGAAATTGAAGGGCATGTTACACATATGCTCTCCTACAGGTAGGACATGCTGGAACACTCATTAGAGAAGCCATTGTAGTCAGTAATCATTTTCCCCCTATACAACATACTCATAAAATTATTACTAACATTAAAATAACTATTTAAATTGCTGTATGCAGTGTTGTGGTACCCACGTTGATCCCAGGATATTAGAGAGACAAGGTGAGGGATGTAATACCGTTGGTCGGCAAGAGAGTGGTCCAATAAAAGATATTTGCTCACCCACCGTGTCTCTCTACTTAAATTGTTGACAGTTTGAATAGTATGTATTTTATGGATTCATAAAATGACTAGCAAATTGTAGAGTTCTCGATGATAGTAAATAGCTGTGATCGGTGATGACAGGGAAAGGCAATCTCTGACTCATCGCATGACTGTCCTCCTTTCTCTCTTTGAAGCTGTGCAGAATGAACGGGACAGGATTAGCATTCGCAGGAGTAGCTATGAAGACAATGGATCCCTGTCAATCACTGTGCTGACCCAGGCCGAGGCTATGGCACAACAGGTATGAACTACATTGATAATCATCATTAGAAGGGGATTTATGGCCGCTTCATCTGTGAACTCGTCCAACTAAGCGGGGATGAGTCTATTCAGTCCTTGGATGGCACTTAGATGGAACAACTAATTACAACAGGAAGCAATATTAATGATTCTCTCTTGTTCTCTCTGGGTCATTGCTGACCCAGTGCCCAAGCATCCTAGCATCTATGTCCTGGCTACAGGTCTGAGCAATTACATTCTACCTACCAATTCCCCCCGGCAGTCCAGCAGGATACGGTAGTCTTCTTTGCTTCTTATCCTAAATTGCTGCATTGCCTTGCTGTCCACTTGATTTGCTTTGTTTCACCCCAGAGGTGGCTGCATTTCAATGATGCATGAAGAGATTCCTGTAGGTACAGTATATAACTTGTTAGGAACTAGGCTTCCCTCAGTATAAATGCAAGATGGGGGGAGGGATAGCTCAGTGGTTTGAGCATTGGCCTGCTAATCCCAGGGTTGTGAGTTCTAATCCTTGAGGGGGCCATTTAGGGATCTGGGGCAAAAATTGGGGATTGGTCCTGCTTTGAGCAGGGGGTTGGACTAGATGACCTCCTGAGGTCCCTTCCAACCCTGATATTCTATGATATTCATTTTTGGGGGGGGGGGGAGAGATAGCTCAGTGGTTTGAGCATTGGCCTGCTAAACCCAGGGTTGTGAGTTCAATCCTTGAGGAGACCATTTAGGGATATTGGGGATTGGTCCTGCTTCAAGCAGGGGGGTAGACTAGATGACCTCCTGAGGTCCCTTCCAACCCTGATATTCTATGACTAAAGGTAAAGAGCTACATTATAAATCTGCAAATGTCAGAGCATTATTAGGGTAACAGTTGTAGAAGAGCAAAGAGCTAATAAACTAGGATTTAAACCCAATGGTCCCATCATCTTCTCCTCTCTCCCTTCCTCTTCCATTACCACACACTCCAAGGTGTAGTTTGCTTTAAAAAAACAAATGAATAAGGGCATCTTTTTAATTGCCAATACAAATGGTCCTTTTCTTCCAGACATATGGTGCGGATTTTCTTTACATATAAAAATGTTTTCACTTCAAGAATTGCTGCATTCGCAACATGCATTAGAAAGCATCGCCTTTCAGGACTTGTCTGCGGGCAACATTAGGGCCCAGGCATGACTCTGAAGTGCAGTAACGTACTCATCAAAGGGCACCATGGAACATTTAGTACGCTGCAGCAGTACCCACAAGAAACGTTACAGGGTGGCAGGCTGGCATATTGTAGATTCACACCCTGGCTTGTGAGGCCTGAACAAGTCCTTAGTTAACACTGCTGGGCCCATTTGTCATCATTGACCTTTGAAAAGAGATAGGAAGATTGATGCATGGGGTTGTTTGTATTTTATAACAAGCTGCTGCTTGGGAGACTGGGTGAGTTGACTGAGCTGCTTCTTTGGGTCTGCCATATTAAATAAATTGGCAGGGCGCTCAGATCCTGTGCTTTTGACCAAAAGAAAGAAAATCCCTTTGTCAAGTCCAACGAGTCGGATGTAAAACACACAGACAATAAACTGCTCAAGTCACTATCCCTCTGTTTCAGAGTAGCAGCCGTGTTAGTCTGTATTTGCAAAAAGAAAAGGAGGACTTGTGGCACCTTAGAAACTAACCAATTTATTTGAGCATAAGCTTTCGTGAGCTACAGCTCACTTCATCGGATGCATACTGTGGAAAGTACAGAAGACGTTTTTATACACACAAACCATGAAAAAATGGGTGATTATCACTACAAAAGGTTTTCTCTCCCCCCACCCCACTCTCCTGCTGGTAATAGCTTATGTAAAGTGATCACTCTCCTTACAATGTTACTCCCTCTGTTGTGACACAGCACCACCTGGTGGAGACTGCAAACATTCTTGCGTCATTTACGTTCAACACTGGATCCAACATACAGTTCTCCGCAAATCGTTATGAATGTCAAACATTATATTTGAGATAGGACAAAATTAATGGCTCTATGGAAACCATAAATCCCGTGATATGTAGGAAACACGTATTACGCTCTACTTGACCAGACATTTTGTTCAACAAAGCAACACTTAAGTCTGTTCTACATCCAAATTCTGCTTTGTTTTTCTTTCAGTACTCAGCTCTGAGTCCAGTGCACAGTGCTGACATTGCGATGAAGAAGGTTGCAACCATCAATGATGTGTGTGAGTCCATGAAACAGCAGCTTTTAGCCCTTGTCGAATGGGCAAAATATATCCCAGCGTTCTGTGAACTTCCACTGGATGACCAGGTGAAATAGGACTCTGTGTCTGTCACTCCCTCAATCCATTTATATTTAATATAAACACATAGTCCCTGCTCTTTAACATCAAACTGGGTGATATTCAGTAGAATTCACCATGTAGAGCAAGAAATTCCTTGCAGGAGAGGTGGAATTTCAAAGGGCCAGGCTTTTGTTATTACTAATTCATTAGAAATGATTGCCACCCACTGAAGACAAGAAAAATATTGCATATAATCAGCTGAGCCAGCACTGGGAATGATGGGTCAAAAGGGAGGTTGTATTTTTTCTACCGTTATCTGCTGGTAGAAGGATACAATAGCCACTGTTTCCAGGGCAATATCAAACAAAACGTGTTCTCCTTTGTTCTTTTGCTTTGCAAAACGAGTTTTGCTTTAATGTTTTGTAAATGTAATGCTTCTAACATCTAAAGAGTCAAAGCTATAGTCAAGTTAGGGTCAGATTTTGCTCTCAATTACCCCAGGAGTAATTCCATTGTCTACAGTGGAGCTATTCCAGATTTGCACTAATTTAAATGAAAGCAGAATTTTCCCCATTCTGTACACATCAATCACCTGACTGTTCCTCTGTCTGCTGTCGAAGTGTAATACGCTCTGTTTCTTCCCTGTGATCTGCAGGTTGTCTTGCTAAGAGCCCATGCAGGAGAACACCTACTCCTGGGAGTTGCTAAACGGTCAATACCATATACAGATTTTCTATTATTAGGTAAAATAATATAATTCATTCTTGCTTTGAAGTTTGCACAGATTTACATGCTGGATAATCATTATGTATCCTGTCCATCTGCAATTGCCCTTGCATTCAACTAGCTAAGGTATATTTCACCTGTTATGCTTTATGCTGTTAAATTGTTGCTACTTTTCTCTAGAGGTGGCCGCCCTGCCATGGTGGATAAAGTCCTTTTTCCATAAAGCCTGTACATCTGTTTGTAGACCAAAGAGCTTGGGGAACTTTCTGGATGTCAGACAATATATAAATAGGCAAGATCATTGTTGTATTTTAGCCAACAAACTGTCTTGATAATTCAGGCTGCTAGAATGAAATTTTTTTTGTTATGACTAAGAAAAAAAAATTAAATACAAATTAAACTGTGGCCCCTTGACATGGTAACTTCAATTATAAAATGACACCAAATTACATGCAAACATGCACCTTCCACCCCTCTGCTTCTATAGCATTGCTAGAATGTCGATATAAAGCTGGGTTTCAGATTTTGCTTCCCTCCTGGTTTAAATTTAGGCACAATAAACCTTGTAGCAACCCAGCTTTGGAACATTGGAGGGCAGACTTACAGTGAGTTTGGAGGAAGAAACCTGCATGATTTGCTCTCTGTTAGGTTTATGCCTCTGAGTATCTAATTCATAGATTCCATAGCCAGAAGGGACCATTGTGATCATCTACTCTGATCTCCTGTATATCACACGCCATAGAACTTCCCCAAAATACTTCCTAAAGCAGAGCTTTTAGAAACACATCCAAACTTGATTTTAAAATTGTCAGTGATGGAGAATTCACTATGATCCTTGGTAAATTGTTCTAATGATTAATTACTGTCACTGTTCAAAATGTATGCCTTATTTTCAGTCTGATTTTGTCTAACTTCAACTTCCAGCTATTAGATCCTGATATACCTTTCTCTGATAGACTGAAGAGCCCATTCTTAAATATTTGTTCCCCAAGTAGGAACTTAAAGACTGTAATGGTCACCCCTTAAATTCAGGGCCGCATCTCTGCATTCCAAGGAAAAACCCATAGGGCTACGGGTAAGAAAATCTCCATGAGGTTCTCTGTGAGGTGCTTTCTTCCCCATGGTCCACTGAGGGGGGGGACAAACAGATCATGAGGCTCGTTCCGAGAACCCAGATATTGCCAGGATCTGCACAGATACTGAAGGATCAGCAGAATGCCAGGTATCCTATGCTACCTAACAGCGTTGGTGCTCCAAAAGAGCCGCTCTGATAGGACTTCCACAGTCAGTGGCTTCCATAGGAGTCCTCTTTAAGGAGGATTGTTACTTCCCAGGGCTGTACTGTCCTGCTGGGGAATCTCCACAGAGCCAGTGAAGAGATGACGTGCAGCCTCTCAGCCTCATAGAACTCCCACTGCATAGATCCTCAGACTCATGGATAACTTGGTACTGGCTCAACGAAAAAGCGAGGGGAGAAATACCGCAGAGACAAGAGCTCACTCCTTATCTCCAGTCCAGGTGGGGAGACTCATACATGGGTCTTGGAGGCCTTGAGTTTTAGTTCAATGTATTTGTGCTGGAGTTGGAATCGTCAGAAAATTAAAATGATGCTTTAGCTAGAGACAACATGTAAATGTTACCTCTGCTAATGCATGTTGAACGCTCACTGTTCTACTAAGCATTTTGGCTCTGTCCACACTGCAAAGGGAAGGTGTGATTGCAGCCTGGGTGGGCATGGGTGGGCATACCCATGTCAGCTTTAAGCTAGCTAGCACGAGGAACAATAGCAGTGTAGACATGGTGGCACCAGTTTCAGCACAGGCTAGCAACCGGAGTCCAAGCCCTCTAAGGTCCCTGGATATGTACTTTGCTTGCTAACTTGTCACCAATCTACACTGGTATTGCTACCTGTGCTAGCTAAATTACAGCAGACACAGGGATGCATACCATGCTGCCATCACCTTGTCACTTTGCGATGTAGTCATCCCCTTAGATACTAATGCCTAGACATTAAGGTAATAGGTCCTTTAGAAATATTAAAGAGAGATTAGATCAGATATTTAGATTAGATAGATATTCCCTTGTAATTTAAGGTGGTGTTTTCTTCTACCATTTAAAAAACTGTCAGGATTCTCCACTGCAGATGGGGGGAAAAGGTTGGTCTCAACAACATTATGTTGGCCAACCTTGGGTAAATTAGTTCTACAAAAAATTATACATGAGCAAGGCTATGATTTAGTCATGGAGGTCGTGGAAGTCACGGAATCTGTGACTTCCAGCGACCTCCGTGACTTCAGCCTGTGCTGGTCGGGAGCTGCAGGGTCCCCCACTGCCCGAGGGTACCCCCACTGCCTCTGGCTGCCGCTACAGCTCCCGGCCACCGGGAGCAGTGGGAGAACCCCCCCGAGCTCCAGGCCGCCGTGGGTGGTGGGGGAAGTCCCCCAAACTCTGGGCTGCCGGGAGCGGTGGGGGAACCCCAGACCTCCTGGAGGCAGTGGGGGAACCCTAGAGCTCCTGGCTGCCCAGGGGAGGCGGGGGCACCGCACAGCTCTCAGCCCCCATAGATGGGGGGGACCCCCTAGAGCTGGAGGCAGCAGGGGTACCCCGCAGCCCCTAGCCGCTGCCGGCAGCTCCTAGCCCCTCCGCAGCTGCCCTGCTTCCGACAGTGTGGGGACCTGCAGATCCCTATTTTGTCACCATATTTTTAGTAAAAGTCACAGACGGGTCACGGCTGCTGTGAATTTTTCTTTTTTGCCCGTGACCTGTTTGTGACTTTTACTAAAAATATCTGTGAAAAAATCTTAGCCTTACACATGAGTTATGATAGTCTTGTGGTCAGATGCTCAGACAGGTATAACAGGATGTTACTCAGCACATAATGTCAACCTGATTTGCATGAATGGTTATGGCAACTGCGTGCACAAATTGGGTAATTAAGCACACAAATGCATCTAAGTAGTTATTCGCCCATGTCAATTCTGAATTTGACCATGAAACTGCATGTGCAAATTATACACACAATCACATGCTGCATTCTGAAAATATGGCTGTTGGTGTCTGAAGAAATGGGTGATTTAATAATGCGCCTTGTCCAAAGAGCTGGTATAAATGGCTGAGACATATGTTTTTTCATCTTCTCAGGAAATGATTTCATCATTCCAATGCACTGCCCAGAACTGGAAATTGCTCGCGTAGCCATTCGAATCCTGGATGAGTTGGTAAAGCCCTTACGTGACATCCAGGTTGATGACAATGAGTATGCATGCCTTAAAGCGATCATATTCTTTGACCCAGGTAAGTCTCTCAGATTTACCAAACCACTATCATCAGTGGCAGATCATGGGATTCCAAGAGAAGAATCTTGATAGGACTAAAATGGCACATAAGTGGGTGGAGTGAGGGGTCCAGTCTGGGGTGGGGGGGGAAGAAGGAGGATCATTTATGGCATTTCTTGAAAATTCCATTATTGTCGATCCTCCTTCATTTTGTGGTGCTCTACTCCCTCATCTCCCCTAAGAAGCATAATTGCAAGGTTTGTAAGTATTAAAGCAAAGTATTTGCTCCAATCCGAGACACATGCAAAACCTTACAGAACCTGCAGGAATTGAGCTGCTTCCAGAGTTTGGCCTCACTCAGTGATGTATATCAATAGAAAATGAGGACATGCATGCCTATATTTAATTTTTCAGTGAATTAACCAAGCAACAGAATGGGAATTAAAACAGGGACCAGGAGGGAGCATAAAATCTACAAATGGTTAGGCCATGAGAAGTGTTGATTGCCTGCAGTTTCCATCAACATCAGGAAGGATGCTGCAACGTCTCACGGTCATGGCTTAAGAGAGCAAAATGACAGAATAAAGAGAAGATTTGGGGAAAAGAGAACGGGAAATTAGGGCCTGCTCCGAAGCCCGTCAGGAGTCTTTCTGCTGACTTCGGTGGCTTTGGACTAGGCTCCAAGTGAGACAAACGAAGGCACCTTCCAGGGCTTGGGAGAGCATGACAAATGCTTGGGCTCTAAAAAAATAACACTCTTTGGGCAGGCCAGTGTCAAATAAGTGATAAGAGTTGAGCTGTTTGATCAAACGTTGCTGAACCCTGGGCTAGACTCAGCAGGGGGAGTGATACAAAGAGCAAACCATGACTGAAGGGGATAGGATGGGGCCACCTCGCAGACAGGAAGAGAGGAGGGCATATCAAAGGCCTGGCCTGCAGTAGAGCTTCAGAGACCTGCTGCTTTCCTAGCTCACATGGTCCTGAACAGCGGCGTTTTTTTACTCTAACCCCTTGCTGAGTGCTATCCATCCATCCTTCTGTCCCTCCCCCCACACCTATCTTTTTACTCACATGGCCCCCATTACTGTAATATCTGAGCCCTTCACAACACTGAGATCCTCTTTCTTCCCTGCATCTTGAGTCCTTTTATCCCCACTTTACAGCTGGAGAACTGAACCTAGGCCAACGCCAAATGAGACATTCTTCTACTGGCACTTACTTGTCACCATATGTGTCTTCAACTCATTTAGCCCTTTCCTGTGTATCTGGAGGGCTGCAGCCTTGAAGCAACATACCTAATAGGAGAGGACTCCTTAGTCTATACTCTTCATGAGTGTCCTGAAGAGACTAAACTGCAGGCACCCAGCCTTACCTACCTCTCCTTAAACATTGAAAGTTGCTTCAATTCTTTGGGACAGTCTGGGTGAAATTTCCAAACAGCCTAAAAACCACCTGGACTGGCATAAGAAAAGATTTGTTAGGAACATAGAGAGAAAATCCAATTAAAATAATAGAAATGCACTGCATATCACATCTAGGCTTATACGCTGCAAAAGCAAAGGCAGATACCATAAGTACCATCTCCATTAGTTACAGTATACAAAGCCTCTTTCCTGGTCCAGCAGGGCAGTGTATTTCAGACCCAGCCTGCGTGTGATCCCTCAGTTAGCCCTTTCGGGTTACTGTGCCATTCCCACAAAGGTATTTACACAGTTGAAGTCCCCCAGGAGGATAGGATGGTCTCTCATGAAGCATGCACTGGATGGCTCCCAAAGCCATTCAGGATTATTTTCACTACTTTGGATAGATAGTTTTTGATCCCGATTTCCCTTTACTATTCTATATAGGTTTTTATACTGAGCTCATCCTTTAGTATCTGAGCGCCTGCCAGTATTGCATTAAGAAATGTGACTACACAGCCGTCACACGTTGTTTGTTCTCTCAGCCTCCCCCAAGCGAGACACTTGTACAGAGGGGGTGTCTTAGTTTGGTAGTGTCTTTTTTTTCCCCCCCCAACTATAAATATCGTTGTAGCTTTGTTTTGATGTTGGAGAAGGCAGGCCAAAGAAACGTGCCTCGCAGCTGAAATGGAAAGTGGAACGGTGTGGGAAGGGGTTTAGTTACTGGGGGAGTTCATACTGCAGTCTCAGACCAGCCCCCCGAGAAAGTTGGGTCTCCCACACAGATGAGCTTTACTCTTATGTTGAGGGTTCCATTGTGCCAAAGGAGGGGAGTTGTCAACCGCAGTTTTCATCCTGGAGCTTTAAAACAATCCTTCAGTTTTCCCGTGCCCAGGCTGTGGAGTGCTTTGAAGATACGAGGCAAGACTCTGAACTTAACTAGAAAATCTATGGGGAATCTATTGAAAATCTCTACCACATTTACACGAGGCATTCAGGCAACAGCTGTTTCTTAGCTCCACCTTCACAATCTAACTAACTTCATATTTATGCCCCAAAAGAAGTGACTTGGTTTTTCAGATGGGCTGAGCATGCACTAAATTCAAGGGCAGCAGCTGGGTCCTCAGCACTTCGCCCACTTCTTTTGGGGCATAAATAATTTTAATCTCCTATTCTTCATATCTTTCCCTTTGCTTGTTAACATGGGTGGCAGGTGAAACCCACCCTCCCCACACCCCTGACCAGGGAAGCTAGCCCGCTGGCCCCATCCCTTCTGCCCGAGGCCACAACCACCATGGCCAGAGGAGCCCGGAGCCCCCCTCCTGCAGCCAGAGGAGCCCTGTCTGGCCTGCCCCAGCCACACCAAGCCACTGGCCAGCCTATCCCAGCCATGCTGGCCAGCCCAACTCCCAGGCTGGTCCCAGCACCAGGCTACTGGCCAGATCCAGCCTGAGCTGCTGGCCCAATGCCCGGGCCGGCCTGAGCTGTCCCTGGCCACCCTGGCTGCCGGTGGGCCCAAGCCCCGAGCTCCAGGCCACCGGCTGGATCTGAGCCCCTGCCAGCTTCAGGGGAGAGGGACAAGGAAGGTGGGACAGAGTGTGGGCAGGGCCCCAGGGCCTGGGTTAGGGGACACTTAGCCTCCCCAGGCCTCTGATACCCATCACCCATGCTTGTTAATCATGCTACCTGCATGACTCAAACTCCTATTTTCCTACCATTCCCTGTAGACATTGCTCTGCTCCCTGTGGGATATGAACTATTTCCAGATTAACACTGAGCTGCCATATTGCCACATTAGAGCCATTCCAACTTCTAGTCTAAAGGAGAAATATTTTTTAAAAAACCATCACTTGCCATATCGGTGTATTTAATCTTTTCTTCTAGAGTCTGGCTGACTGCGAGAGCTGTCCCAGCTTGTGTGTGTTTGTGTGTGGAGAGTGTAAATTGTCTGTCTCTGTCTCTCAGACTGTAAAGGCCTGAGCGAACCTGGCAAGGTGAAGAACATGCGATTCCAGGTGCAGGTCAACCTGGAGGATTACATCAACGACCGGCAGTACGACTCACGAGGGCGGTTCAGTGACATTCTCCTCCTCCTGCCACCGCTCCAGAGCATCACCTGGCAAATGATAGAGCAGGTCCAATTCATGAAACTCTTTGGTGTGGCAAGGATTGACAGCTTGCTGCAAGAAATGCTTCTGGGAGGTACGCCCCCGCTGAGATCCTCTTTCTTCCCTGCATGCCTTGAAAACCGTGAGTATTTCAAAGGCCTTAACAACAATGCTAACACCAATGCCGTATTTAGGGATGCCCCAGGTTGATCAAATTAAAGAGACTTTGGAGCCAGATCAGCAGTTGATGTACATTGGCACTGAAGCTGATGGATCTATGGTGATTCATGCCAGCTGAGGATCTGACTCTTTTTTCATTAGCTCATGCATGGAACAGACACCCCTCTACCCCCCTTCAAGGGTACAACATTTTGTAGTAATACAAAAAGCAAATTGTAACCTTGTGAAAACATCAGATTCAGGGCTGAACTGGGGGCCACCCGCAAACAGGGTGATTGGCCACAGATGAGTAGCCAAAATGCTGGAGCTGGGAGCAGCAGAAATCAAGTTCTTTTAGGTAACTAAGATGACAGCGTCACAGTTGGAAATGGTGGGGTGCCACAGGAGAGAGGGGAGCAGGAGGAGGGGACGCAAGGGACTGAGGAAATTGGGGATACGTCTCCTGGTGATCCCGCTACCAGCGATTCTTCCGCTCCCTGTAAAAATGTGCGGCGTGCCTCAGGTCATAGGAATGCTTCTGCTGGTTTGTAGTTTAACAACAATGGGGAGAATGACTTCTTTTCCATGCTCCTATGCAGGAACCACTCTTGATGTGCAATACCAGTCAGGACCTTCCAACCTCGACCTGGAACCTCTGCCAGGACACGTAGCTTTACCAAACATGAGTTCTGTGATTCACACAATTCCAGACCGTAGGTGTCCATCTTTATGCTATTGGCAGGCATAGTGCGGGGATTGGGTAGGAAGCTGCTGGGCCTATAAGCTTAGTTTGGTTTATTTAAGCATCACGCTTAGACTTTGTGGGGCTAAATGGGACCTGTCATGTGTTAGATCCAGCAGCAGGAGACAAAATAGGGGTCTAAACCTCAGGATCTTCCTTAGTTTTTAGCCAGGCAAAACTGCCACTGAAGACAATGCACTGGGTCTTACATCTCACTAGGCCCTATTATGACAGTGTCATCATTCCACTTATAATTTAAGAAAATATTCACAACCAACATCCCAAGCATTCAAAAATCATGTCAACCCCACCCTATCCTTTCAAATCATGAGATTTTAAAAACAAACTCCAGATCCTTTTTATTTGCCTTCTAGGTTTTACACCTTTAGGTTACACACTTCCCAGGTTTCTTCCACAACCATAAGGGCAAGAAACTTACTTTTTATACATGAAAGCTGAATCCAGAAGCAGGGATTTTAAGACCACCACCAAATAGCACAAGACTCTCAATAAAAAGCAGGAGCATTGGCAATGCTATTCTTTATGCACAAAGGTAGAAGTGTAAACATTCAGAAAGTAGGGCATACAGTAGCCAGTGAGATCTGTTTTATTATATGCGAAGTAAATTGTCAGCAAAATAGAAATTATACCATTCAACCTGCGTGAAAGGCAATTTCATTAGGTGTAGAATCTTTAAAGCTTCCAGTAAACTTTTGTTGAGGTTTTTTAAGAAAGCCCACTGATTTTATTATTCCTTTCATGGTAGCTTAAGGTTGGTATTCACTGAATTGGCAGATGGCCCTAATTCTACCCCTTACATTTTTTCCATAGTGTGGACTGAAACTTAATAGAAACGCTGTGGAAAACTGGCTCTCCCCATTCCCATGAACTACCTCTTCCGCTCATACTCATAGGAACTACGGCAAATGTGTGCACGGAAAAATAATTAGCAATAATGTCTCTAAGATAAACAGCATTGAAAATTGAGCTAAACTAACAGCTAGGCACAAGAAGGGGAGCCAGCATCATGTGACCAGTTAGCACTCTGCAGCCTACCACCAAGTCACAGAGCACAGTAAGAGAGTCATTGCTCTAATTAGAGATCAGCACTTTGAAGTGGGAACACATTTTCCCAAGTACTATTTATAAGACAATGCAGTACGTTGCTTGGTAAAACTCCTAATAACCCACCCGGCACCGAGTCCCTGATCACAAAGTGAAAGGCGGAAGAAGCTACCTGCATTCACAACAGGCTACCCCACCATTTTGGTATCACCTGTCCTCCAAGTGTTTTGGTGCAAGTCGAGAGCTGGGTTCAGTTCCTCAGATTGCGTGTGGTACCCTGGACAAGTCATTTAGTCTCTCAATGCCTCAGTTCCCCATCTGTGAAATGGGGACGATGAGCCTCACCTCCCTTATGCAGCATGTTGAGAGTGGTTGCTGAAGAACACGTTGTTAAAATGAAGCTATTAGCACTTCCCTACCTTGCAGAGTTGCTGTGAGAATAAATGTGTTACAGACTGCAGGCCTCAGACACTTAGGAACTTACATGGTCCCCACGATCAAAGAGTCATTTCCTAAATAAAATTAATAAAACAATTTAGAAATTTTGTTATGAAAAAAGGTATTAACCATATCAACTATTGAGGATTGTTTTTAAAGCTAGCACATCTTTAGTTATTTCATAAAGACAACTCAAGATAGCCAAGAAACTATGCTAAGGTACTGCATTTAGTGCTGTTCATGAACTTGCATCTACACCACCATCTTGATCCTTGTGACTCTACTTTGGTGTCTTTAAGCAGATACCGTGCTATTCAAAACGTTGTCTCCTAATATGTTTTAATTCTTTGTTTTTATTTTTCTCCCTTCCAGCATCTCCAGAAACATCCCTTCCTTCTCCATCTACCAGCACAGGAAGCGAAGACTACAAACCAGGCCCAACCCCAGGGCCAGAGGCCCTTGTGAAAATACTGCCTCAGACCATCGTACCCAAGCAAGAGATTTTATAAGGGACAGGCAAAAGAAGCCAACAGCAATACCCAATGTCCCTATGTAAAGTTAAACCATCCCTGCTTTCTGCCATGGCAACGCCCAGCAATTGTCTGCTTATAATGAGATCTCATGATGACACCCTTTCCTGTCAGTGATTAAAATGGCACTGTCAGACTGTGGCTCACCAATGTTCTCTCTATATCATCACCCTCTTTACTGGAGGAGCCTGGACTTGATGCTGTTGTTCATTTTAGAACCACCAAGACTGTAAGCTGGTTGGAGCAGGGACTTCTTGCTTCATGTTTGTACAGCACTGGGGGGTCCTGACTACAGAAATATAAATAAGTATCTCATATCTCTATGGTTGATTGCTAATGAGCATGCTATAGCTCAAATAGGCCATATGAGGAGGTCTGTTTCTATTAAAAGTTGAAGTACACGCCCATCACTCCTGCTGTCATTCAAGCTAAATCGAGAAAGCCTGTCGGAAGCATAGATCAGAGGTGCTCTTCATAACCTGCAGAGTATGGCTTCCTTATTTCACACAGACCTGGTATTGTACAAGATTTTTATGCTGTTAGTAAAGAACATATAATGCTGTGGATTATGAATCACGGATCTTACATTTAGACTAACCTGTGCTTAGGGCTGTTCAGCTATTAAAATATAACAATTCTTGAAACCTGAAGCCCATATTTGGTCTGTGACAAACATCCTGGGAAGGATAAAAAAAGTGTTCTTTATTCTAACTAACTTGGTGTACTCTGCAGGAGGCAGAATTTGTTTAAACATCTGGAACCCAGCTTCTGCATTTCTATACTTCCATTCGGTCTTTTATAAATCTAATGTGTTGGTGGGGGAGCTGATCATAATGACATTGCAGATAATTCTTGGGAACAATGCAACTGCTAATACATGTAAGGAACCAACAAAAAAGGCTTGTGCTATGCACATGTAAACATCTTGGCTTCATACCGTATCTGGAAAAAAAATGACAGTCTTAAAACATGAAGATACTTTCCCTAGCATGTAGATATAGTTTTGCTGTAGCTTCATGGAGCAGACAGTATGAAAACATCCTTTTTTTTAAAAAAAAAAAACTTCACAGCCCTGAATTATGCAGACTTTTAAAATTTTTATTTAAAGCAGCTCTCCCAAGGATCTGTCACTGAACTATATATTTTGAAAAAAAATTATTCGGTGCTTTTACATCATGGGATATCACTCTACTTAATGAGGAGTACTTGTGGCACCTTAGAGACTAACCAATTTATTTGAGCATAAGCTTTTGTGAGCTAAAACCCACTTCATCGGATGCATGCAGTGGAAAATACAATAGGAAGGTGCGTGTATGTATATATATATTTTTTTTCATTTTTGTCATAGCTATTATCACCAGCTCACCTTAATTGATCACTCTCATTATAGTGTGTATGGTAACACCCATTTTTTCATGTTGTGTGTGTGTATATGTATCTTCCTACATGCATCCGATGAAGTGGGTTTTAGCTCACCAAAGGTGCCACAAGGACGACTCCTTCTTTTTGCTGATACAGACTAACACGGCTACCACTCTGAAACCTGTGTACTTACCGTGTAATTCCTAAGTTAGCCAGGCTCCAACTACTTCGAATAATAAACGTATACAAGAAAAGTATTCTTAAAAAGCAGCCAGACACCACCTTAGTTGGCTGCCTACATTGATCAACAGTATTTTCAAGACAACTAACCACAACATTTTGTTTTTTACATAGACAAAAGTTCACTGAACATTTAACGTGCTTTTGAAGGAACAGGAATAAGCTCACAGTTGGAAAGAATGAAATTGTTATTAATACTGCTGTCTTCCCACAGCAGCTAGTTCCCTCACTTTAATGATCTGTGAGTCTTTCCCAGTGCTGCACAAGGCAGAAATTCAACCCTTGACTATCCAGTCTATGAACCCAATTTGTAATATAACAGATGTACTTTTTGGACCTCAAATTTGCACTCTGTGAAATTGCCTTAGATGTCAATAAGCTAGAAGAATATTTTGATTTTAGTTTGTGAATCAACAACCAACCTTTCAGTATAAAACATGCATTGTGTACAAACATAGCATTATGTACTTCCATTCCTTCATGTACACGATCTGATTTGCACAAAGCTCTTGTAGTGGTAATGAATGAAATGTAGCTAAATATAAATCTACCAAGTGAGCAAACATTCCATTCTTTGAAGATTGTTAATATGGTAATGTATAAACAAAGCTCAGATGGAAAAGCTCCACATTCTGATTTACTTTGCTTTTGCGAATCATTTTAGTAGCTCAAGTTTCTGCACTGATTTTCCTGAGCATATCCTTTCTTTAAAGATTTTCACCCAAAGCATATAAAGGTTAGAAAAACAAACTGATATTGGTAAGCATGCAAGTAATACACGCCAACCTGTTTAATTGGACATAGCCAGAAAGCCACACAATAGCTTATAAGCTTTGTGTAGTTAGTACTTTATGGCTCAACAGGATGGGGGGAAATATTTTGCTATGGCAACATACTGATATTTGATCTTGTAAATACATTTAAAGAAGGAATCACATTAAATCTTTGCAAATTGGTTTTGTTAGCATCTCATAACTAAACACACTGTGTTCTTATCTGTTAAAAAACCCCCCACTGCTTGGCTGGAATTCTTTTTCACAAGGAAGCACCCTCTTTGGCCCTTCCACAGGCCCCCCCGCAAGAGCATAAGCTTTTCAAAAAATCTCTAATGTATTTGTTAAGGTGTATTCAAATATGCTTTGGAAGTTGTTATAGCAACTGCTGTACCAGATTTCTGAATTTTCTTTTTTAAATAAAAGTGCAAGGATGAATTCTGAGACCTTTCTATACTTCAACAGCATGTCTATTGCTTCACTGAAACAAACAGATACCCGAGAAAGCACAGTGTTACCACTTCTTTAACGTTTTATTTATATGTATTTTACATAACAGATCAAAGCATGTGGAAAATATTAAGGTATAGTCTTGAGTATACTTCAACTTCTTACTGTATTATAGATCCAAAGGAAACTTGAAATATTCAGTACACAATAAGTTTTCACTTATATTAATAACTAGACTATGCATCTGTGATGTGTGGTGGTGACCATCCACTTTGTTATTGTGGTACTAAATACCGTTGCAATACAAATTACTCTGATTTGCTACTGTGGGACAGCTGGAAAATGCTGAAAGGACTGCTACCTATTTCTGTACGAAATTCAGAACATAACCAGCAAGCTATACTTGAATATAGACAGCTCAGCTCACGACACATTTTCAAAATAAAAAGCACCAGCCTTTTTTTTTATCATATTCTATTAGCATTGCAAAGAAGTTTAATTGCCACTTGAGTCACATGGCAACATACAGAATGACCTCTTAGGGTATGTCTACACGACAGCTGGGAGCAAGCCTTCTAGCCCAGGCAGACACACTAACAGGGCTTGAGCTAGACCACTACAAGTATCAGTGTCAACATTTCAGCTCAGCCAGAAGCTCATGCTCTCAAGTCCAGCCAACCTCCTGTGCTTGAAAGCCTGAGCTAGAATATCGACATTGCTAGTTTGAGTGTACTAGCTCAAGCCTGTCTCAACAGGCTGGAAGACTCGCTCCCAAATGCAGTGTAGACAGACATACCTTTATAGACAAATGAGACTACAGTACAGCTTAACTACTAGTGTATGAACTTCTCAAAATCAGAAATTGTTAAAACATGCTACAAAATACAATTAAAAGTGTTAGCACGAGTTTATATGAATGCATTTAAGGTAGTTTTCTATACAATCTGCCATGAATGAAAAAAAGGATCAAATGATGGGAGCCTTCACAGCTTTGTAAATAAACCAGAGACTTGAGTCAGCTAGTGTAAAGAAAGAGGCTGCATTGTTTTGGATAAGGTTTTTATTACCGATTAGCAAACCAGGAGGTAGGTTTTGCCTCAGCTGAGGCTCAGAAGCCATTTTAGCAGACATCTGAAAACTGAACAAAAGTACGCCAAGCAGAAGTCTTGCAACACGTCTTCTTTAGCTCCTACTTTTCAAGAGTTTACTGAAATATCCCAATTATCAAAGTATCCATGTTAAAGAAAAACCACTACTTGATTTTCAAAGCTTGTTTTGCACAAGACTATTTTGTGATGCTTCAAGGGGACAGTTACAGAATTAACTGGTTCTGGTTTTAAAACTTCTCCAGGAAGCTACACAAGTAAAATATCAAATGGTAGTTTGTCTTATCTTAAGGTAAGACTCCCCAATTCTGCACTCTCAACAGCTTTTGCCTCCTCCCCATCTTTGATTCCTCCCCTATCATTAAGTCTATATTAAAGACCATCTTCTATGGTCTTCAATATAAATGGAAAGGGTAGTTTGCAGTTTAAAGAATACTTCAAAGAAGTAGAAAACTGCTTCTAACGTAGGGAAAGAGCTGACCCCAGATGTATTGGGGCCTTCAGTAGAAAACAGTTTAGTTCCTCCCAAGGCCACCAAAATGGGTCCCTCATCTCTTTCCCTTCTTCAAGTGGCTCATCATCTTCTTCCTCTACCCTTTCCTTCTATAAGGCAGAAAACTTTTCTTTTTGCTGGCCAGCCTCCCACTCCTGAAACTAGTGTTTGGGATGGTCACCTGGAAATCATTGTACACAGCTTCTTGGGAATGGCAGAATTACAGCTATTGCCTGAAATGATGTGCCCTAGGCAGCTGCCTATCCAGAATACATCTACCCCACACCCCCTTTTTGGAGAAAAAAAGCCAAATACATAGGCAACAGCTGAGAAGACAAATTAGTTTTCGGCCTGTCTGAGAGTCAGTTTGGTTTGGTACCTTACTTTCCCATCCTGATTGGTGGAAAGGAAGTGCGCAAAGGTGAGCAATATTTCAACATGCCAATTTGTACAAAGTCATAAACAAAAATGGTTTTTTTTAATCCCAGAAGAGGTTTTAAGACCGGTTACAAAGTACTAGTGAACAGACAGTAGTGCACACCTTTTCCAGCCCGG